CCACTTCTCGATCCACGTTATCCCCACCATCTCCAATTCAAACAATCCCTATAACCTCCAAATCTGGAGCATGTAAAACCGTACAAATACGGGAAAAGGCAGTGTGGACTTGTTGGGTTTTCCTTACAACAGAGATCATGCTCGTAACAACCCTCATGGCTGCAGCAATCGCCGCAGACCCAACTCCAACACGAACATCCTTTGCCACACATTCCTCGGCAGTTATTTTCCGTCGGGCGCAGACAGCTACGCTTTCCAGTAGTATCTAAGTTCAAGTCATGCGCAGCCTTGAACTCTGGTTGAATTTCTGTGTCCGATGCTTTAAGAACATTCAGGCAAAGCGCATGAAATGGCTGCATTGTTTCCAACTGTGTAGAAGTATCCGCTAGGGCTGCTGAAAGTCTTTCCAGTAGCTGGACTTCCGGGACATTGTGAAGCTCGCACATGGCCTCTCGATAGAGGTTCTGTACGGTTTGGAGCTTAGGTGTTCTCTTCTTTCTGAACAAGGCTGCTAAGGCCTCTGGAGTTCTACGAACTTTATTGGGGACGTGAGTCATGGAAGAGTCATACCTTGTGGAAACATGTGAACAACAATAAGCAACTTAGATCGAATAGGCTATCACAGTGAACAATTTTAAGAACTCACGACATCACCGGCTCTCTGAGTAAGCCTGTGCTCGTCCCTACGGCTATGCACGATTAGTGTGCGGCTCTAAATATTATTGTTAATATTATTGTTATTGTCATTTTTTTTATTATCATTATCACTTATATCCTGCAATTTGTTTTTTAACTTTTTCGCCGAAAATACGCAAAGAGACAGCACTTCGTCAGCAAACTATGCCTTACCCCTCAATAAAATAAACCTGAATAATAAATTTTTAGGGAATAATTATCCTGACTGTAAATAGATGAAAATCGTATACGTGAACTGCGGACAAAAAAATGAATATGAAAGCAGTTCTCGTTGTAATTATCGTTGCCTTATTTTCACTATTGCTTAGGTAAAATTTGTTAAAGATTTTGTCTGCAGTCATGATTACGAGGATTTCAGTCGCTCTGATAGCTTAGGCCTTTGATTTTTTCGGTTGCGACTAATACCGTGCACGCATAAATTAGTAATTTACTGATTTTGCTTACCAAACAAATGCTTGATCCAAGACTTGGTAAAGAATCATTTTAGGAGTGAGTTGCCTGTAATGTAGAATTTCATCGCCATTCATCTTCAGTAATTTCATAAATCCTTTGCGAATTTGGAAGCAAACGCTCAAGGTGTGATTGTGAATGTAACATCCTTGGACTTCGCCCAGAGAATGATTCTTTAACTGGAGACTTTTCGCACTAAAAGTTACTCTTGTAGCGGACATAATTGTGACAACACTCACAAGCACCACGAACATTACCAAAGGGTGGTTAATTGCGAAGGAAAGTGTCTGTTAATTTCCACGAAACGACGGATTGAATTCTCTGATTACAAGCCAGCGAAGCTCAATTTTGGCAAATCTTTTGTCCTTACAACAGGGTAACAAACGTCTTAATTATTCGCCTAAGTTTTGAATTAATTTCACCCCCAGGTAACACCAACAAAGGACGATAATGAAAACTATATAACGGGAAATACGATGTTAGGGCCATGTTTAACAGGCTGGATGAATTTCATAACAAGAAAAACACTCACCAGCCTGATCAATTCACTATCACACGGAAAGTCCATCGTGGAGTTCGAAATTTTGTCACCTGTAATTACTGAGTAAAATGATTATTTTTTTTTTGCCTAGCTCGCTGTCCAATTAAGGTCTTTGGCTCAAGTGTGTCAAACAGCCGCTTTGCTTTAAGCATCAGGAATCAAAGTTTTATAATCAGACAACTGCTTTACCGAATAATAGCGAGAACTGATAGAGACGATTGTATGAAAACTAACCAGAAGACAACCAACGAAGTGGGCCATCGAAACGACGCTACGTGAAAAAATGGACTTAATCCATAACCAATTAAATCACTTTCCTCTTAAACAAACCGTGAACAAGCGTTAGAAATTAATATAATGAACTTAAGGTCCTCTCGCAAAATATTGAGAACTGTGCTTCACCAAAACGAGTGTAACACTTCTAAACCTTGCGGGGAATGGGCAGAGGTTTGCTTTTGCTTCGCTAAAAAAAAAAATAATCACGTAGTATACAGTACTTTATTCATTCCTATTTCATAGGTTTTCCAGAATAAATTTTCCAAAATGCTAATGTCACTGTTTCTAAGCATGAAACAATAACATACGAGAAGTTATATTTTCTGTCATCAATTTATCATAACAAATCATACTATGTTTTTGAATCATTAATAACCATAATAACTTCTCTGTTTCTTTTTGCCGAGCTAAAAACTTACCATCTCTCTTAATCTATTTACAAACATGATGTTATCGACACATGCTGATCCTAGCAATATGCAGGACGCGTGTCATACGAACTTCATAATAGACCTCGCTCACCGCAGAGTCTCTGTGACTCAGTGGTAGAGCATCGCAGTGCGGAATTCGAAGGTCTGAGGTTCGATTCCTCATGGGGACTCAGATTTTTTCTTTGTCTCACGCTCGTGACAAGACGAAAAACACCTTTCCCCGATAACCATAAGTTTCATTCAAAATTAGTTCCATCACCACTTGGATATGTGTCGGTTGAGTTCCATATTTGTTTGTACAACGAGGTACATGGTAAAAAGTATCAGAAGAGTTGACGAGGGCCAACCTAAAGAAAAAGAAATTACAATTAGGCTACATGAAATAACACGAGAGTTTTGAGTTATCAAAGTACCATACAAGGACCACATTGCTTGCCCTATCCCCTGTCCCCTTAGCAAATTTTGTCGTCTTACGCAGCACAACAAAAACCAAATGTTTCGAATCCTTAAGAACGCGAACGGCAACGAAACTTTTTCCTAATTCTTTACGTCACGGACCAAAAACCATGATTATCTCGGAAAATTTAGCTTAAGATACTAGATTTAAACAGCAAATTAGGCAATAATTATAACATTAAAGAGAAGTTTACTATGTTTTTTTTTCGAACATACCGAAATATAACATTCTCTTGATGTAAAACCAAATGGGTTCGGATCCACTCAAAAACACTAGGTTACTTAGAATCAAGCAGGACACAGTCACAACACCAAACATGGCGCGAATTCGGCGGGATGCTGCTGGAGAAAGCTTGTCCTGAAAAGGAAAGAAACCAAACGGCTGGAACTAAAAGCATGGAATGTGTTATAACAGCCGCGATGAAGGCCATTGAGTATGATAACCGATAGAGAATCGCGTCTGAAGATAGCAAGTAAAGACTATCCATGAAATTAATTTTACTGATGCTGGAGCAGACATACAGCGTTTTTATTACGTTGCATTATGACAAGCCCTTACTGGCACTTCAGGCTACGGTACCATCCAGTGAACAGGAGCAGCTCTGTAACTGAGTACTAATGGGTCTCCAAAAGGGTCTCAACTGATAAGCGGCCATAACATTTAGACGTTAGGCGTAAAAAATTCACACATTTTAACCGTTAGTCATAACGGTCAAAAGTTAACCTTAAAAAAATTTCTCGTGACCACAACAGAAAGATATTGACCATTAGCCGTAAAAGCCATCGCCCAATTGAGACCCTCTTCTAAGCGGAATTGGACCGTTTTCAAAAGAAGCTTGAAGTAATCAATTTAATTGAGATTTCATTCGAACGCAAATATACCTACCTCCCATCGTCTGACAGAAGGAAGCTTTAACACAATGCCTGCCATAGATTCTACCACAACTCCAATCCAATTAGGGATGAACCACCATACCGTGTGCGCATGCGCGCCATGCCACAGCCATATAAAGGCAAAAGCGGAAAACGAAGCTACAATTTGACGAAAAACACCTGTGCGGGACCCTCCCAGAGGTATGTAAATATATCTGCAACAAACCATAGAATGCCTATCAATACACACGATGTACAGTGAAAGCAGCATCTATTTTGACAATCTTTCATTGACAACCGCGCTCGCTTTATTCATCAGCGACGAAGCTTAAGTTGAGAATGACAAAGAAAGCTAGCTAATGAAGGTCCTTCAAACCCACGACAACAACCTTATCGTATGTCAGATTTTTAACATAATAATAATAATAATAATAACATTCACTGACCGCTCCCCCAATGGAGCTTTTCGGTCAATACAAACAAATTAGTGACGTAGATGAACACCGTGTTTGTAAACCCCAAAGCGCAGCCAAAGCGTCGAGCACGGGGCAACTGAGAACAATCCAGTGAGTGACGGGGTGGAGGGCATGAACCTGGAACCTAACCACCAGATTACAAGCCCGGCGCCCTAACCACTCGGCCATTCTGCTTTCCTTCCTTCATCTGCTCTGACACTTAATAGTGCAGCTTGATTATCAGTACTTGAATATGGACGTTCAGTAGAAAATTACTGACCTTTTCATCCAGAAATTAAGACCCCTGTCGAAGTATCTGTGAAGTTGAACAAAACGGAAGACATTCTGAAACCATTACATTGTAATTATAGAATACTCTTGAGAGATGGTTTGTTTCTACGAGATTTAGACGATTCCCCTATCAGTAGTAGTAAAGTCAAAGGATGGGGAAATTTTGGGTCTGTTCTCATGGTTTGTTTCTGCATAGCTCCAAGATTTACCGATTGGAACGCTGGATTGGTAAAATTTTAATCTCTTCTCTTTATTCAAGAGCTACTTTCAGTTTCTCACCGACAACCCAAACCGTTGCCTCCAGGTGAAGGATGAGCGAAAAAGTTTGTAACTGATTATTAAATCTGAAAATTTGAAGCCGATAAAGAAACCATGAAAAATCACAGTGTAAGAATGATGGTGTCATTAATAAATTTACGGAAAGTTGAGCAGGAAAACAATCTGCTTCCTCGACTTAATTCGCAATTTCTGCGCACTGTTCTAAATGCGTGTTACATTCGCCATGGTATTCGATTCTGGAAAAGTGTTAATCTTCTTTGATAATCTCCTTTGATAATCTCCACCAAGAGCGCGCTTTATACGTGCTGTACACAATCGTGTAGCGTGCTTCCTATCGTGTCACGCGTGTGACGCGCCTCTCCCCTTTCTGTCGTTCTCATGCCTGCTGTTCTGTGAAGCTTTCACACTCAAAAGTATTCAATTTCCCAGTCGTGAGAGCGAAGTGGCAAAAGGACACAAAGCTACTTACTTCCACATGTCAGTAAAGAGGTACAGTGTCGTGACACATCTGGGAAGTAAAGGAACTTCGATTCTATCGACCTCCGCCAGTAAGGTTGTACAGCGGTAGAACACCTTGTACTTAACAAGAAAGATGTGTAGCTGAGAGTACATGATCCCACACAGGGCCCAATTGTCCAAGGCACTAAATAAGCGAGGGTCTTGAGTAAAGGCCGTCGAGTAGATAAAGTGTAAATAGCACTCTAGGAAAAAGTACCAGAATAGGGTGCGTGCTGTTCCCCATAGAAGGGATTTTACCTCTTCTCTAGTAAACGGCCTGTACGGTTGATAAAACTACGGAATACGAGAATGCATGTATGAGAAACATAAAAATGTAAATAAACTGTATAAAGATGCCATACAGAAGTACTTGCAGCTATATATAGAAAACCACAGCATTGCTACAAGTGGTTTGGTTTAAAGACACCTGATTGAAAAGCGGTTCAAGAGCAAAACATTATTAAGTTACAGGATAAACTGAAAATGCTAGAATGTAGAACAGTATAACTCAGCAAGTCATACCAAGGTTTAAGTTTGAAGCCAATAAGACAACTTTGCCCGCGGGCTGAACTGGCGCAAACAACATGAGAAGACTTTGAAGGGCACGGGCTCTAGGAACAACAGGCTGGCGAGGTAATCTAGAGAATCGATTCTATTAAGCAGGAGCGTTGTGCTGGTAATCAATGTATAAACAAAGGCTTTAGGACTTGTATTACAATTAACCAAAACCACTTACTGTCCTCTGAAAAGTATCGAAGTCGACAACAGGACCATTGGCAAATAACGGCAAATAAAAGTTATAGACCAGCAGGTCTATAAGCGAATACTGCTTTAGGGGTTTGTCTTTTTCCATCTCATGTGATCGCCAGCAATATTCCATTCCAAAGCTTATGCAGCGGAGGTTTCCCATCATGCATACAAATAATGTAAAATTTTTTATCTCTCCGATTGGACTCAGAGGATTAATCTGGAGAAACGAAAATAAGGAAGAAATTTCTCGTTACAAATCAAAATGAAGAAAATTTTGTGACAATTTTCTTTCCTTGCTCCACACAGGGCCCACGCTTTCAACCTTGTTGATGTGTATACACCACCCTCAAGAATAGAAACTTCAAGTTTGTTTGCTGTCAGATTTCTCCGTTTCCCGCGTCAGCTTATTAAAATTACCCGTGAGACCATGAGCTCTGTTTCTCTTAAATCATTATAAAATTATACTTGAAAAATAAATTGTTTGAAAGAAACTGAACAGCTCCAACACCATCAACAAGACCCAAATTAACATAACAACAAAAATTGAACACAGACATTTGAATTTACAGATCAATGTCCGTGTCTGAGCAACTGCACACTTACCCCTCCCCTGACCCAGTAACCAAGTCAACTGATAAAATTTTAGGATTAATATTGGGTCAGGGGAGGGGTAAGTGTGCATTTACTCAGATACTGACATTGATCTGAAGTTTCTTACCTGCCACATTCTTACTGAGTGTATCTGTAGAGAGAGAACAATACCAAGAGAGCAGATCCACATGGCAATGATTGACTTGAACAAGAAACAAGAGGCATAAACAAGCAGGCAATGTCCAACCATGAACAAAACTGGTTTGAGGCCGGTGATATAAAGTAGAAATGATAAGGCAAAGGCAAGGCAATACAGTGGTTTGAGCTAAAAAGATAAAGACAGACACATTAGTTAATCCTATATATATTACAACCTTTCCAACACTCCCTTTGGTGACAGAGGAAAGTGGCAGTTGGGGAGGTAGGGACCTCAAGCAAACCACGTCTGTGATGGCAACACAGGCATGACAAAACAGGAGATCTATTGGGCATAACAACAGTTGAGCGCAAGTGTTTTAAAACTTTGTACATTTCTTAGCCGTCCTCTGCAAAACAAAAACATGAAATAACCAAAATTTAAGTTTTCTCAGACTGATAACAGAAACCATGACAGCAAATTTCTTAAGTTTCCATTTGAATAATCAACACTGCTCACATACGTTATGCAGAAGTTGAGGTGTGATGCCATAAGAGACAGTAAACATATCCAGCCATTTGCAAAATTCTAACAAGAAACATGAATCATTTTTTAATTGACATCTCTCTTGGCATTGCTGTTCTGAGTGCTAAAGGTCCCTAATATCCACCACGAGCCACCTCCCCTTCAATGAGTAGTTGTTAATGAGCATACACCACACAGGTAAATAGTGCTTTTTGCATGCTCTGATTGGTTTGTTCAGAAATGATTAGCAAATACTGCTCACCTCTAATTTAATAAATAATAGAAAATAAAAGGTTATGAACTGGGTGTTCTCTGTCAACTTGTTCCAAGAGGCTCAACATTGTTTATGCATCTTGAAAAATTAAGCAAATTTTCTTTTAAAGTTCATGATTAACACATCTGTGCTTATCTTGTCAATTCTTGGCCATCTCATTCCCTTTTGTTTAATTTTTCTGATATTACACTGATCTTTAAGGTTTCCCTTATACTGAAGGTAAAGTTACAAAAACTACTGAAATTCCATGATGTGGCTTGTTCATCTGGGAAATTGCTACTAGACTGGGTAAAAATTAAATTTCATTTCCATGAGATTGAGTAGATTCAAGAAAAAAAAAGAGCTCTTTCATATTTCACCTGTGGAATAAATCTTGAGAAAAAGAGTCCTCCAAGCATGTGAACCAACATGGCAGGCATCAAGGATTTTATTGCACTTATCCAAAATTCCCACTCAAAATCAGTCACATCCTGCAAACAATAAAGCAAAAAAGCAAAAAAATTAGCAGATCATACAACATTCCCTAAACAAATGGAAGGAGCACAGACAGAAAAGATACAAAACTTATCAGTCCTTTAACTCCCAAAATCTAATTTCTAATTCTCCCTCCCAGCTGCTACACATTTTCTTGTAAATTTGTTAAGAGAATTTGGTGTTACATCACTACAACAACCTACGTGTTTTCTAGATGACATATGGACAGTGTAAGAAGAACTAAACGGGGAGAAGGCTCAATTTCTCAGCCTGGTCTGTAGTATGCACATCAGAAATAATCAGTGACAAAAATAAATATTGTCTGATTAACACTGGGAAAAGAAGTTCATGCGGTTTTTAGTTTTTTGTCACTGATGACTCATTCCCATGATGGACTGTGCCAGTGGTTGATAATCAGGCCAAGTATTAATAACTGGGATGTCTAACCTTTTTTCTTCCAATAAATTTCCATCCCTCCTGTAGGTCATCTGCATAAATCTCATCTTTATAGTCTGTAAAGATTTGAGAGTGTAACATCTTTTTAATTGCCACTCAAGAGTTTATGGAGTTTATGATTTCTCAGAGCCATTGAATCGTAAGATAGTTATTTCAAAAAAAAAATTGATGTCTTGCTTGAGAAAGAACACCATTGGCTCCTTCAGTTTGGATTTCAACACATGAAATCATCAAAACTAGTTAAAGGTTGTCTAGAAGCTTTAATTCTCTTTCTTTCAAACATGACTGAGATAAAAAAAAATATATAGGAAAAATTTAAAACTTTTATCATAAAAAGAAGACTTCTCATTAGTAGCTCAGGCCCACAGTCAGTTGGCCAGTGGCTGACAGATGCTCAACTGATACTCAAGTCCCTTGATGTCTCAGTTGAGATGTCTACTAATGTTGGTCAAATATCAGCGGACCATTGGTCTACTACTGGCCACATATTGGCTGACTACAAGTCAGCATATTGGTCAATTATTGGTCAAGATGTAAATTAATGCATCAAGTATATCGACCAAAAAGGCCAAATGAAGTACACATAATTCCAGAGAAATTGTATTTTTATTTCATCAAATGCCTTTAAGTAATAATGGTTTCAAATAATTCTTCCCTCTAAAATTACTTAAGGGTCATGCTGGGTATTTTCTACAGCAATGAATGCCTGAGTTGTTTGGTTTCCTAAATTACAGAAATGTCATGAAACAAATGTCATGTCCATCTCTGAACAAATGTACTTCTTAGCAACAGAACTATTTTAAGCTATGCTTTGGTCACCTTCAGAAGCTTTGTAAATGCTGTACATGGCACATGATAACAAAGAAATCCACACAACCCAATAAACTGAAATCTCAGCCCAAGGTAGAGGGCCATGTTTTCTGTTCTGATGATCACTACTCTTGTTTTCATCCACATTTTCCATGTCAGAGGTGGACATCTACCATGAAAAAAATAGTAAAAATGTGTTGGGAGTAATATATTAAGTGAGAGTAGGATTTGTTCAGAAACATAACTTAAATAAAAAATGAAGATAATCATGAAAAAAAAAGATATTCTACAAAATTTAAAATGCAATAATGTAGTTTGATTATTATCCAGCACCAAAAAATGAATATGTATAAATATGTATTGGTGTTAAGAAGTAAAAGTAAATTTTTCAAAGACCACAAAATTGCATGAGCCACAAGGGCAAGTGCAATTATTTATTGTATTTGAAAAATGCTCATTTACACCAAATTGCAAGAAAGATCATGTTGTTACTTGTTGATAATTTACATGAAAAAAGCATCACTGTGACAGTAAGTCATGACAGACAAAATTTTGACAAGGTGCACACCATCAGCAATTTGCACAACTTTGTTACAATTTTGCATTCATGTTACATGAAAATGTCCTAATTTTCAGCCACTCAGACGCTGTAATTTTTCATTTATATTATTAGCAGTGGAACTAGACTAGAAGTGAAATTAAAGGGGTTCAGTAGGCTGGCTGATATCAAACATCACTTGAAAAACAAATTCAGTCTTATGGCAAAGCAAGTCTGATATGTTAATCATGAGTATAATTATAGGCAGAACTGGACAACACAATGTCCTTCTTATTATCAAAACTATGAGTAGATTTGGGAACAAATTACCCATTCATATCCCCAAAACATATTCATTACGTGAAAAAAAAATTGACTTTTTGCCACAAGGAAATAAACCCAATAGTCTATAGTAAAAGCAACAGAGTCCACTTCAATGATGTGTACAGTGCAACGACACAGACATAACACTTAAACTGTAGAAAAATTTAAAGTTGAGTCTTAAGAAGCTGGATACAAAAACTGTATGCAGAAACACTAAGTTCGGAGATCTGCTTCACTCTCCTCGATCAGTTAAACATCTGAATGGAAGAGAATTATTTATTTTGCGTGATCATTGTTGATAGTTTTGAAACCGCGTGAAATTACCAATACATTTAAACTCTACAATGTCTTCATTGTTATTGAACATTCACAATCAACGGAAACTCCAGTTTACGTTTCACAGGTCTCTTTGGCACGTAAATCACACGCGCGAGGCACAGAGAGCTGATTAGATAACAGATATAAAACGTATCTCATGGATATGTACTTACCTATTAAATTTCCCCGCAGAATCCAGCTGTTCCTCTTTTTTCGGCAATGTTCACTATTCTGTGCCACATGGAAAGGCAACAGCTGAATTATAGATCCGAAGGAAGTTGGTTTACAACAACATCAAATCCAATCGCGCACACCTTTGCCCCTTTCCGATTAAATGTACCCACGTACCCAAATTTGTTAAAAAAAACCTTACCTCCTTCTTAAGTCTATCGCATAATATTCCACTGATACTACTACATTTTAGAATCACATTCATGAGGAATGAACCTTAACAGTCACCAACAGCTGAATCGATATCATTAACTTCCGGTTTCAGCTGGTTAAACAGAAGCCTTGATTAACTGATCAGCGGCTGCCAAACGCACGATTCTG